TGCCAAAATACAGAGAAAAAAATGACTGTAATGAGACATACAAACATTTTTCCTGTTTACCTGGTAGTACCAAAAAAATAGCTTAATCTGAAATGTCAAATACATTGTGGGCAGCACACTTCAAGAAATGCAGACAATCGGAATAAGTCAAAGAAAAGCAAAAAAATGATGATATGCCAGAAAATATAAACCGTAAAGGAAAACTGAAAGAATAAGAGGAGACAGGAGAGGCTAATAAAATTCAAACATAATAAAAACCTGCTGCAAAGGGGAATGGAAAATGGACTTCCTTGGCTGCTGGGAACAGGATAGGAAATAGTGGGCTTAAATTTTTGCAAGAATGTTTTTCTTAGAGATTATGAAAAATTTTCTTCTGCTAAGAAGAATGAAGCATTGGAATGGATTGCTTAGGGAGACTGTGCAGTGTCTACCACGGGAGCGTTTAAAGACCTGATCTAATAAACATGCTAGAACTGGTTCAGGTATAGCAGTAACCTGAGTCCAGGGTGGACTACATTAACTTCTTGAGGACCCATCTAGTCCAGTTTATCTACCGCAGCTATTCACCTGCTGCATCTACTATTTCATGACACAGCAAGTAAAAAGACCAGAGCCTGCAGGAATACTTCTTTGAAAGAGTAAGAAAAATCCCGAGTACTACTCCTGACATACAACAGTCCCACATGATAGCTAAGGTTAAAAAAAACCCCAAACAAACAAAAAACTCCACCCTACCTTAATGGTTATGCTTTCTGAATCAGCCTTCTTTTGAGTCATTTGTCAGAGTACAAGATGAACATGTTTGTCTGATCATCAGCCATTAAGAAAAAAAAATCACAATCTATTGCCAAGCAACTCAAGCAACACAGAGATTATGGAGATTCCAACAAGCTGATCTGAGTATAAGACAATGCTGCCAAGTGGGAGACCATTAGCATGCTCCAATACTTTTGCACGTAGGATGGGAAGCTTTGACAACCAAAGCAAATTTAAACCAGGATGATGTGCTACACATATATCTTCTGTTACAGAGCTATCCAGACTGCATGAAGCAATTAGATACTGGAGTCTCAGAGGATGAAATTCATATTGTATACAAAATTTTATTTAAATGGGATTAGCCAAAAATCCTGGCAGATTTAAAAACTGATGTAGTAAGATGTGTCTGTGCTTCAACACCAGGCAAGCACATGGGCATCTCTGCTAATCAACTATCCAACTCTTCATTTACGTGTATGCATGACCCAGTTCAACAAATGAGAAGGGTTCAGGGATCAACAACAGGGGACAGAATCCCACAAAATCCCACCCTACCCATGGTAAAAAGCCAGAACTAGCCTGCTGATTTTTAATGAGGGTACCTTTTGGGCCTTCGGTAGTTCCCACTGCTGAGAAGCAGGCTAGGAGGACATATGGGCATTTAACATGACAAAGAATTTCACAATACTATTGTAACTAACAGGCCACAAAAAAATGCAAACTATTCGGTATTAAAGGAGCTACAAATGTCTCAAGATGGACATGCCTAAGGGCATCAGAGGTCAAAGAAACTAGTGGATAAAGATCTAACCAAGGGAATGGCACTTCAGCTCAGCAATGCTAATCATTGCAAAACACTCTCACAGAGCACGACTGAACCACGAGGATAAAGATTCATGGTTTCTCTTCCCGTAAAATACATTTTTCTACTGCCCAACAGAGAAAAGTCAGGCGTGACAAAGAACATCAAACCAGGGATATAATTATAAGCAAGAAGCCAATGACTGGAGGAGTCCTCTGGGCACAAATTCACAGTTCTTAGTATCAGTCACAAAAAGCACAGGCAAAAGTATCATCTTCAGTAAATCACAGGTCATAGGAAGTAGATTGGAGAGGAACTTAAACAATCATAAAGTATTTGCAAACTGCCTGAGGAAAAGTGCCAGGACTCAAGGACAGCCCTAGCAATCTTCTCACCTGTGGGAGAGGTCTTAAAAAAGTAAGACAGGGCATAGGAATAAGGAAGACAGGCTGAGACAAAGGACTAGGGAATCAAATTAAGATCTCTATACCAATGGCAGCAGCACAAACAAGGAACGGGAAACTGGGTTGACCAGATGGTGGGCTGCAATGTTCTGGTGGGAAAAGCCTTGATCCTATGTACGGGCATGCAGTACTTAACAGCTGGTCTTAACTATTCATTAGCACAAAGGAAAAAAAAAGACTGTAAATTGCTATAAAGAACCATCTAGAAGCTGCACAGCATATGGAGAGAAATATCAAGGTTTGGAGAAAGCATCATGGAAGCCATTTTGCATGCCAAATTAATTGTAGGACCTCTACAAATTACTTGTAGGACCTCTGTCTTCTATGGAAGCAAGCAAATTAAAGAAGCCCACCTTGATTCAGAAATATGGAAACAAAAGCCCCTCCGGGCTCTGGCCACATCAACACCAAATCTGGACACATGGAGGACCAAGATTATGCCTTGGCAACTACTAAAAACCTAAATCGCTCATAAAGTTTAAAAGTAAATTAGGTTTAATAAAAAAATAATGCAAGTATAGTTTCTAATATTCCAGTTTGCATGAAAAGTCTATCTTTTACCCTAAATATTTAATCAGGTGAATATTTTAATGTTAAGATATTTCCCTGGACAACTCAGAAGATTGAGTCAGAGTTTGTTGTTCCAAGTATAGTGAAGGAGACTGTTCATAACTCCTTCCTGACTGGATTAACTCCTAGCATTAAAATGTTCAAGATTAAAGCCTGCTTTTAAAAAATGCACTAAAATCCGCCTAGTTGGTGAACACTGTAAGGACTATTGCAAAAAAGACAAGCCAAGAATTTAAATATAAGCACAATTTGTTATTTTTGTATCTTTTTAATACATGTCTGCACAGGCACTGTTTGAAATCCTAGGCTGCTTAAACAGTAATTTAAAAAAATCACATCATGTAACGATGAACTCTTTGAGAAATTCTAACATAACTTATGCAGGGATCACTTACAGAACTCATTCTTCTAAGAATCAGAAAACTAGATCTAGCTGATATGAATAAAAAACATAAAGGGAGAAGCTCCCCTCAAGCTCAGAGAACAGCAGCATTCTTCCTCATCTGTCTTTCCTGCGGCTGTTCCCCAAGTCACACTGCCTCAGTGAACAACTAATAACAGAACTTACAAATTTATTCAGCCTAAAACCAAGGATACAACAATTTAAAAGTCTCATTCAAGATTTTTTAGAAATTTATTTGAAAACATTTTCCAGTGCAGAACAAAAAAAAAAAGACAAAAAGATAGCCTTAAATGAAAAAATGTCATTTAAAGTTTATCTGCTCAGGGCAACATAAGGAGAGACTTCAGCAGGTCTTGTCAACTACTGCTCTTTACCTGGTACTTCTTTTTCTCCTCCATTTACCATCCACTTAGGTATTAAATCCTTCATTCTACATATTATAGCTGTAACTAAATTAAGCATTGATTTGCTATTTTACATAAATATGCACTAAAATATTTCCAGCAAGTTCTGGATTATTTAGTGAGGTTACACTCTTATCAAGAGACTACACTCAGTGAAAGCAGTAGCAGTACTTTGTTGTGGGAATGCTACACCAATGCTCACTACACCTTTTGAAGTCAGGCTTACCTTTCCCTAAAGTATGAAAACGACAACTGAAAAAGAAAGGCAAGATTGGAAAAGAAAATCATACAATGAAATAGTGATGCAGAACAATGCTTAAAAAATATCTAAGCTCTGCTGACTATCAGGATCATACGCTTGAGGTTAGGATGGTGATTAAGTGCTTTGCTAAATATAGCCTTAAAAATCTATTCGTAATTAAGAAAGCTCAATTGTTTATGATGTCTAACACTCTCTACTCTTACCAGAAATGCAGAGTGCTTTCTATATTATATATTATTATAATCACAATACTTAGCATATTGTGTATTATTATAATTACAATATAAATGCCTAAATATATCCTAGGTTCCTTTCTCCTTCTCCAAAGGACATTTGTTTTTAATTTGTCCTTAAGTTTATGACATTCAGAAGTGCAATTTTGCGTTAAACAATTAAAACTTTCAATATTTAAGAAATTACTTTATGAAGGACAGTATCAGTCTTCAAAGAGCGTGAGGCAGGATATACATAATTCAGGCACGCAACAAAGCCAAGAGACAAAAAGACGTGGTAATAAATACACATCTCTGCTCTGTCCTAACACTTATCGATACAAACTAGCAGGGACAAGAAGCCTGAACAAAATTCTGCAACAGCTATGCAATAAACATGTTTATTTTTATTAAACCAAAATATATAATTGTCTATTCAAATTTCATTTTTGAAAAATAAAGCTGTATAAAATACTACTGTGAGATACTACTCACAGTTAAGGATAGACACTAGAAAACATGTTTTCTAAGATTCATGCAGAAGCATGATCTAAAGTGGAACTTGTATGAACACACAAATGAACTAAACTGGATAATTCCACATTAATATGAAAGCGTACACTTTGTTAAACTTCTAATAAAGGCGACAATTTTTTAGATCTTAACTAGGAAAAAAACGAGTCTGAGAAACTATTTATATATTTTAAATTATTTATATACTTAAAATCATTGAACACAGTCATGATGCAGCTCTTGTAAAGTCAGGAGTAATTATCACAGAATCACAGAATGTCAGGGGTTGGAAGGGATGTCAAAAGATAATCCAGTCCAACACCCCTCCCAGAGCAATTTGAAAATACAATGAATTTACTAGAGTTCTATTAGAAATAAGCATTTCACTTAAATCACAAAGCTAAATAACTGACAGAGAGGAGTTCTTTGCACAGTACAATTCCTTATTGCAAAATTCAGACGTGGGATTACGATCTAGAATCCCTTCTTACACTGCATCAGGTTTTATGACATAAATTTTGCTTTCAAATTTTGATTCACCATCCAAAACACAGAAATAAGTGTCAGGTCTTGTTTCAAATGTTCTAAAGTTATTCTGTAAACTAAACTTTTCAAATTTTACGTTTTTTCCACTCTGGCTTGTCTGTTTCATCATCTTCTGGTTCCACCTCCGCAAAAACTGTTTTTGGCTGTGTTCTAGAAAAGATTAAAAAGATAATAATTATCAGAAATTATTATAAACCTTATTAGACATTCACTAGACACAAACGATACTACTTCTATACTTAAAAGAGCATCCTAGACTTGCTCAATTTTCATTTTCAACATAAACCCATCAACTACTCTTCTAAGAGCTGAAGAAACTCGCAGGTCTCAGGCAAGGAACAAGCATAATAACCACACATCTTTTGCAAGTATTATTTCCTCATCAGCTTGCAATCATTATATGCATATTACATGAATAAAATTAATATAGGAGAAAGTAACAAATCAGTTTAATACTACGCTAGAAAAATGAAGCCACGGGTCTTCTACACAAATTTTTTAAAAGAAATCTACTTTTTGATACACTGAGTATGACAGCAGCCAGTAAGTGAAAACAGAACAGCTAAGCCAGGTTTCTGGCTTAGCCTATGCATGAAAAAAACAGCTTCTCCTCCAGAGACTTTATCCAGCACTACCATAACATAAAACACCTAATGATCTACATAGGAGAACACAGTGTATCCTACAGTCAAGCATGATGGTATCTCTTCTGTCACTGTTTACTTGTATTTTAAACAACACTTAAACTTTATAAAAATAATTATTGATTACTTTTTAAACGAACACAGTATCAAGTAGCATCTCAATAAACTGTTTGGACATTCAGTTCCCCTGTTTTACACCTTAAATCACTGCACGGTCCCCTTTTCAAACCTAATTCTCATCGCATTCACTGCAGAGCTGAAACTACAAGATTTCTGATGCTGGCTGTGCCTGACTTCTCATTATCACACACATGAAGAAGTACAAAATGCAGCCAAGTCAAGTCATCATCTCGTTAATGTATTAACTAATGTTTTTACAGCCGTCTAAGGATGTGAAGCACTATTATTATTATAACAACTGCTATTTGGCAGACTCTACAAAATGCATAAAGCTTAACAAAACTGCATCTGCCTTACTTAACACAATAGGCGTAATTCAACATTGCCACTTACTTTGAACACTAATAGCAAGCCATCAGCTATCAAAGAGCTGGATTTTCCACTTGTTAAATATGTGGCACAAATTAGATTTGAAGTCACCAAAACTAGTCAAAAGCAACTTCCCTTATATACAGGATCTTTCTATCAGCATGCTTTCTTCTCCATCCTCCAAACTTGCCATGGAGGTAAAGAGTACACTAAGATGTTTCAGAGATGGTCTTGCTGCTGTACTCTACTGGCACATGGTCCCTGGGTGCAGGCTGTACTTCTCACTATACCCTACGCAGACCTTTGTGCCCAGATGAGGACTTTCGCTACTGAAGCTCAGTAAGTAAATCTGCTCTCTATGGAAAGCAGAACTAAGGTCATAAAAAGTTTCCAGATTTAAAAATTTCATTAGACAACAGTTACATAAACTCTATCAACCAATCACTGAAGGAAGAATTAAAAATAAACAAAATTAGCATTCAATCTAAAACGGACACTAGGAATGCAACTACTATAGGCCAAAACACGGGATTTTGCTAGCTGCTGAAGAGGTGGAATGTATGGAATCTTCTTTTTTTTCAAGATATATTGATGGACGTTTATTCAGCCTATTTTAACAGTGCGCCTTCCTTTTACAAAAACAGACAAAAGGTAACTAAAATATAGGATCACATCAAGTCAGTACCGAGATGCTTGTTAGTAAAGCACAACTAAGCATGTGTAACTTATCATTTTTTGACCATAAAACCTGCAACTGTCATAATTTGGGTCAGAAAACTCCAAGCAAAAACTTAATTTGTGAAATCAGCAGCAGAACCTACTTGTTTCCAGGACAGGAGTGGCACAGAGCAAAGTTACAGACTTTAATATAAGCATGCAGCTGAGTCCAGTAAAGCTAGGGATGGGGCAGAGGAAGGAAAAAAAACCCCAGAAAACTGTAGCATAATCCAGCAGCAACCAACTAATGCAAAAACATGCAGAAGAAATCAAGTCTGCTTGCTATCTCATTTTTTACAGCTACCATGAAATTGCTATAGCCTCAGCTCAGCTGAAATGTAAACTGTTCCACCTCCACAAGCTACACAGCAGTAACCAGAGCACCCAGGGCGATTCATATGCCTGACCATTTTAAAGGCATACACATAGGAAGTTAGAGCATTATCAGTAGTGATCATCTAATTTAAACACAAATTGTTCTGCTTAGTAAGTGCACTAGAGATTGATAGTGGAGTTGGAGTTTTTTGCATTATTAATTTTTATACAATTATCAAAACAGGTTTACTACTTCAAAATATTTCTGTTTCTTAAGGCTATATAATACATGTAGAAAGTTGTGTCTTCTTCCCCATCAACTTTCTCAATTTTATTTATCCTTGGCTTTGGGCCTTTTTTTTTTTTTTCAGTTAGGGATCTGCTTGGCAGATCCCATGGCGGGCAAACGGGCCCAAAAGAACTGGTTTACCTGAGGACAACCTCCTCAAAACACATTCCACCCTGTGTGCAGAAAGTGAAGTCTGTCAGAAGCTTAGTATGGATGTGCAGGGATCTCTTGACTGAGATTAAATACCAAGGCCCAAAAAGGAAGAACACAGAGGAAGCAGGGACAGCTTAGGCCAAGAGAACAGAGGCTGTATGTGAACAGGCAGGAATGGAGTTAGGTAAGCCAAAGCTCAGCTGGAGCCAAAACTGGAATGAAACATGAAAGGCAACACGAAGGGCTTCTGCAGCTACACTGACAGCCAAGGAATACTAGGGAAAACGTGCTCAACCAAGCAGATAACCCACAAACATAGGATACAGAAAAGGTCAAGATACTAGGTGCTTTTTTGGCTCCATTTTCCCTGAGATGGTCTGTCCTCAGATCTTTGAGGATTCCTACACCACCAGCTGAGTCTTTGGGAGGCAGTGAGACACTACCAGCAGAAGAGGAAGACAGACACAGGCCGTATGCAGCTCATTGCACATGTACAAGTCCATGAGATCAGGTAGGATGGATGCAAATGTATCGAGGGGGCTGGCCAATGTCACTTCAAGGGCACTCTCTTATCTTTGAGAGGTCATGATGATTAGGAGAGGTTCTCTATGACTAGCATCATCATCTTTATGAAGGGCAAACCGAAGCATTTGGGGAACTACAGGGTATTCTATCTAACCTCAGTCCCTGGGACAGCTCTGGAACAAAGCCCCATGGAAGGCATTTCCAGGCACATGAAGGACAAGAAGGTGACAGGGAAGAGCCAGCAAGGATTTAGCAAAGGCATACTATGCCCACCAGCCAGACTGCTGGAACAAGCTGCCCAGAGAGGTGCTCTGGAATCTCCATCCTTGACGATAACAAAACTTGTCTGGACAAGTTCCTGAACAACCTAAATCTAATTGGACCTAAGCAACCTGATCTAAGTAAATATGGTTTAAGCACGAGGTTGGGCTAGACGACCTCCAGAGGTCCCTTTGTCATTCTGTGATCCTGTGTTTCCACAGGACTATCAGCTGAAACCAGTATCTCATACACTGACTGACAAATGCATTCCTATTGCAAACTGGCTGCAAACAAAAACAGAAAAAGAAATTAACATGATTTATTCATGATGTGTCCTTCTCTTCATTTCAGTGTTTCTCAATATATTCAGATATGCATAACCCTAAAAATTTCCAGGGGCCATGCAGACTGCTCTGAACTCATCATAATCCCTCTGGTTATGGGCTGTTTTTCTCAATTACCTTTCAAGGATCCAAGAAAAGTAGTTCATTGACATCTGAGGTTCATAGACTAGCAGCTAAAAAACTACTGCTACAGCTGAACCAGCTGGAGATGACAATTGCATATCACAACAGGTGACTCATGTTGCAGTAACTATTGAAATTTGTGTTTACATTGCACTGAAACAAAGGAAAACCAAGATTTTCAAGCATGCTTGGAAACCACAATAATGTCATAAAGGCTACTTCCAGACAGAAAAGTGAAGCTTTTCAGCATCAGGCCCCTCTGTATTCCTTACCCCACCAACCAGATTGACTCGTCTCTGAATTTCAGGGGCGCCTGTCGCAAAATTACCAATTTCCAGAAAACGATTCAGCTTAAGTATACCAACATGTGCCAGCTAAAACACTCTTGAAAAGACATTCTGTTCAGTCCTGCTTCTTCAGCTAAAGACACTTGAGCCACTAAATGACTAACACTTCACACACTGCTACCGCCACTGAGAAAAAGTTTCCTGGCTGCAGCACAGCTACAGGCCACTGCTTCAGGTCCTTCTCTTTTGCCTGTGGCAAGTAGCAGTGACGAAGACAGCAAAACAGGGGCAGCATTGCTGAAGAGAAAGATATGGTCTAAGAACTCTGGACTGTCTAAGAGGGGAGGGAAATTTCACCCTCACCTTCCCTATAGCACAGATGATAGCTGTATCTGGGCCTGATCAGGCCCTCAGCACTAATGCTGCTGGTCCTTCAGAGGGACATCTGAAGTCATTATAGTATCTCTGTACAGCTGTGTTAAAACAAACAGCTCACAAAGAATGTAATTTTCAAACATTTACAAGTAATGCCTCAAGTTCCTTTCCTGTAGTTCTTTACTTGAAATCTTCAATCTGTCCTTCCTTTCCTTTCACTCTACTGGGATGGCTCTTGCCAAGGTGTCTAACAAGCTTTTTCCTGAAAAACCTCAAGATCTTGTCTTTATCCTCATCTATTATGACTTTTCTGCTTCATTGATCACATCTTTTTTGACACCTTATTCACATTGGGCTTCTGTAACACATCATCTCCTGATTATGCGTGTACTTCTTATCATCTCTAGTACCCTTTTCAGCAGCATCTGCTTTTTTCACCTATCCTTTTGTCTCTTACGTACTTTCTCCTCCTTTTCTGGCTCAAGCTGTACGAGAAACAGAAAGGTCAGGCTAATGATAACAAGTCTGAAAAAATTTGCAAGTGACACATAATGCAAATGACTATTTGGCTTAAAGAATAAATTAGGCTCCTTTAACTCCAACAAAAAGATATTTTTACAATGCACAAACTAAGTCATGTTGCAGGTATTTCTTATAAGAATTACTGAAGTGAAAATACAATTTAAAAAGCGTGAGATCAGTTATCTGATTTAGAATGACCTAATCAGTATGAATCAGGACCAGGCAAACTGTAACCCAGTCATTACAGAGCTATGAAAACTCTGACCAACCAGAAAAAGAGCATTTCTTAGTGTTGTGAGTCTAAAATTATTTAATAACCAGCACTGAAGAAAATTAAGTAACTAGAGTTTCCTTAGACACTTTAAGGACAATGAAAAACTAGCTGAATAACCATATGTTAGACAACACGAAAACAAAAGCTTTGTCAAACAAGAGATATATCAAGTGGATAGTTTTATACCATATTTAAATGAAAATTTACTACAAATGTGGAAAACCTGACAGCTGAGAAATTAAGTAGTAAAAAGAATAAACACTTTACAAAAAATTAAATGTACTGGATATGTTTTTTAGGTCTCATGGCAGCATGTAATTATAAGCACGTATCAGATTATCACCTTTCATAACTCCATACTCTATCTTACGCTGTAGCTAAAGCATACAGTTTCCCTAGGTTTGTATACTGATCATTATTATGAAATCCCAATATCAACAGGGCCACCTGGGACATTCTTACAATCCAGTATTGTGTGGTATTTCCTATCAATTACTTGTAATTTGCATATTTTATTAAATATGCATCTCTAAGAACATTTGCAAAAGGCTTTATACACAGGCTAAACATACATGCGCTGTAAAACCAAATAAATGATATAATTAACACAGGTTTCTCCATTATCTGTGTGTGCAGGCAAGCAGCTAACAAAACCTGACTGCCATTGGTTTGCAACTGTTAATGCAGACCTCCATTTCTGAAAATTAAGAACATAACACAACTATAAAGTAAGTTTTTGCATATGTGTTGATGATGATGATGATGACAATAACAACAACGACAACAATAACATTCTTTGCAGAGAGTACATCTTAAAGCCAAGCTTTTAAAGCAAGGATAATGGCAGTTTCACTGGCATGAGATCAGCTGACAAAGCTATCAAGGCAGTATGCTGCAGGCTGCAGTCCAATTCCCGCACACACGTATCACCGTCTGGTGTGTAAGTTAATAGCAGTCTGGACTTGCATCCTCTCCGCTTCTCAGCCAGCTCTCTTCTTCCCCTGCAGCTACATCTTTAACAAGAAGTTGTAATTAAATCTGCCCACCTGACACAATAAGCCTTCAGTAATACAGCTATGTATTAAAACTTTAATGTCTACTACATCACAGGTGTCATGGATGTAACTTAATACACAATCAGTGAAGCTACTGAGTCAAAAATATACTGAGGACTCTAACTGATGGAATGAGTGATTTTATTTACTTTTGAGAATGGATAGCTGCATATCTCAAACAAAACCAAGTGCCTACACATTCCGAGTAAATTTCGTCTCTAGAAAACAAGAATTCTCAAACAACTGAAAATCAGTATTTGGCATACTCATTACAACTGTTACGGATGCAGGCTTTCAAATATTCCTTCTTCAGTACCAAGGGTGATACTGTATAATGCATTAATTTGCTGTATAACATCAAGGGCCATTCTCATTAATTACCAGTTTGCATCCTTATTGATTATTGATTACCTAGTCAAGCCAGGCTGAGTCACTGACATTCTCAAGCTGCTTTGGAACCGCTATTCAGTCATCTTTTTGAACACATGGCTCGAGTCAGAAAACAAGTGTCCTCACTAGAAAGAGCTATGATTCTTACTATATTCTGAGTTATTCTAAGGAGCTGGTGATTGTTTCACTAAAGAGCTAAACACCAATAAAGTAAGTACAGTCAGTAAAGCACTAATGAACATACAGCTTAGGAGACAAAATACTGGACTGCAAACAATAAAAAATAGTTCATAACTGGCAGACTGTTCTGTGCAGACTATTTCAACTCTTTCTAAGCCTTTTCCTTATGGATTTTAAAAATATGACCTACACTAGCTAATTTTGCATAACAAAACCAGCAATGATAGTAAGGAAGTGTGAAAGTCTTAGTAACTTTTTGAGTGGTAGTTTCTGTTCATTAGTAAGAAACGCATTTATTTTGTATTTATTTTAGTACTATTGTGAATGTGTTTAATAGTTTGATTTCGTTTTATTTTTAGGAAAAAAAAATCTTTGGTAGAAAGTATTATAGAAGCATATCACCAAATTTTTGTTGTAACGCATACATTTTAAACTGAGGAAGTTACCATCTGTGGGATTACTAAAATTGTACTACCACAATCTTGATAAGGGTCTTTAATTTATGTAACAACTGAGTACTTATTTCCATAGATTGAATTTTAAGTAGGAAATTTTATTGGTGCCATTTTTAATATCACTATACCTTTACCACCAACTCAGAGAATTGAACAGAATCACAGAATGTCAGGGGTTGGAAGGGACCTCCAAAAATCATCTAGTCCAGCCCCGCTGCCAGAGCAGGATCACCTACAGTAGGACACACAGGAACACGTCCAGGCAGGTTTTGAATGTCTCTAGAGAAGGAGACTCCACAACCTTCCTGGGCAGCCTGTGCCAGTGCTCTGTCACCCTCACAGGGAAAAAGTTTTTCCTCATGTTTTTGTGGAACCTCCTGTGTTCCAGCTTGTACCCAGCCTGGCTCTGTCCTCTTGACACCCACCCTTTACATATTTATAAACATGAATGAGGTCACCCCTCAGCCTCCTCTTCTCCAAGCTAAAGAGACCCAGCTCCTTCAGCCTTTCCTCATCAGGGAGATATTCCACTCCCTTCATCTTTGTGGCTCTGTGCTGGACTCAGTTCCCTGTCCTTCTTGAACTGAGAGTACCAAGCAGGTACTGAGGTCTTTATGTAGGAAAAATTCAGATAAAAACTACGCAACTTGAGAAATCATCTAAAATATGCTCTCATAATACCAAGTAAGTATTTTGAAGGTTTAATTTAAGAATCAGTCAGAACTAGAGGACATACTGGAAAACTTATCATCCCAGTCTGTCAATGGGATAGTACCTCACTAAAAGGTATATTGCAATTTCATACATTGATTTGGAGAAGATTCTAAATTCTAATCAACTTAAGAGAGTTTAAAACAATTTTCTAGTACTGATAGGTACATTTTAAAAGTGGAAATGCCAAATTTCAACCATTTGACTTTCCAGAAACTCTTACCTTTATAAAAGATTATGGCATATTCTTGGTTTATGTATTTGGTTTATGGCATATTCTTGGTTTATGTATGTTATGTTTTATTGTGGCAGCAATCCAGAAAAGGCAAGTATACCCTTAAAAATGTGTGTCTTCTGTTTTTACCAAATTCCCAAGGACTTCTAGAAATACTACTTGTATTTAATTGTTTACTTACTTCGCATATGCTGGAGCAACCCAGTATGGATTCTCCTCCGCTTCCTTTGCGTGACGTAAAATAGCCTCTCGAGGGTTGCTATCATCCGTCTTATCCAGTGCGATATTCTTGACTATATATGATGACAAGGTACCTCCATGAGTTCCTACACGTCCCCCACGACCTGTAGTAAAAGGAAGAAAACAAGAGAAAAAAAAAAAGAGTATTTTAGAAAAAAATATTTAAGAAACAGAGAAATGTTGTACTGTTTCTGTAACAGTGATCTGATGCAAAAGTTATTTCATACCATAGTAAGAGTGTAATTTAGAGCTCCCTTCACATAAGTCTTTTACTGATTACATAATTTGAAGTAAGTCATTGTGATTATTAATTTATTCCAGGCAAGTACTCCAAACAAAAATCAACATCTTACAGTGCTAGACACAGCCAATATATATATATAGCAGAGTGGCCACCCAAAAGTTTGAATGAAAATCCAGATGAGTGTAGAACCCAGGCATGACAGTCCCTCTGGCAGACAATATTCTGAAATTATTATACCTGGTCCTGCTACGGGAGGTTCAGGTTTGTGAGACTTCATGGGGTCCAACCTATCCTTTTCCAGCTGCTTTCGAGTGCTTCGTTGTCGTGGTTCACGGAACATAGGAAGTGCATGGGCTGAAGGGTCACAGTTTGGAGAAAAGAGAAATGTTAGAAATTTAATTTTCTTTTTATGGTTTTAATTATAAAGACAAAGATGAGGATTATTTCTTGCAACGGAAAAGGTGGAGGAAGCAGCCTCCAAGTTTTCTATATCCAAGCAAAGGTTTAGTGAGATATATTTCAGAGAGCTGCTTTCTACTGAAATTCTCAAAGATGAAAGCAGTCAGATTTTCAGGGTTCCTCCAGGCAGGAGCCTTTAATCTAAAATACTGTTTGCACAGTTTAGGCATATCTAATCTACTCCTCTGTCATCCTGTTCTCAACATCAGTCTTGTGACCAATCAGTTGCTCTTTTTTGAACTTTCCATGTTTCTACAGCTTTCTAGTACTCTAAGAGCACGACAAAATCCTAGATGCATTCTTGGATCTGAAACAGAGAGAGGCAGAATCCCCTCAATGATCCAAAATGTAATGTTTCCGCATAGTAAGTCACGATGATGTTCTTTCTTAAACTATGAGATTAATCAAGGTTGGGAAGATACCTGTAACTGAGACATCCTGGCTAAATCACTACAACTTAAAATTTTTGTTTTCCCATAAAGCTGCTACAATACCTTGAATCACAGTAAGGGTTTTGGTCTGCTCAGACAAGAGACACATTTGTCAGCAACACAGAACCACCATGGTAAGGGACATGGTTACCTTGAGGTGAGGATTAGCTCTCACATTGCTGATTGTTGCCATTTCCCAAAATATGGGAAACACTGTTGGGGCTGAAAGACCCAACAAAGACAAAACCCAGTCAAACAAATCTTAAATGTGGTGGCACTGGCTCTATGCTGAACAGAAAACAGAAAGCACCATCCAGGGACCTATTTGTTTTTTCAGCTTATTTCTGGAAGCCTCCTCAGTTTGTTAGGCTGAATGAAGTCACAGCCAGGTGGCACAGCATCAGACCTTTGAAAATAAATGTTTACATTTTATTTTTGCAGATTTCATGAAGTATGAGATGCCTCGACAATTTTCTGGCAAGCACTAAGCTTGACCAGCTTGCACAGAGCTAATGCGGAGATCCAAGCTTTTTGCCATTTGTGGAGTCAAGGTTGCCAAAGGGAAACCCAAACTACATATTCCTGTGTTTTAAAGTAACACCTAATCCCTCAAGATAACATTCTTGCATTTTAAATAGCCATTATAGGCAATCCTGAGATTAAAGTGTATAAAACAATAAAAGGGAGAAGAAAAAAAACAGAGAAAGAGAAGAAGGAAAAAGGGATCAGTTCACTTCACAAAAGGACTTCTGAGATCCTAATTTTTTTTCCAGTTCTATCTGTAGGCTTAGAAAACAGACATCTAACCTCTGAAAAATATGCAACAAACAAAAATTTGCACAGCCAATCCTCAGAACATTTTTCTGCATTGCTTTATATAGAAGTATCCTTTTTTAGTTTCAAAATGACGTGGAAAAAACAGCTAAAAAGCTACAACTCAGTGATAACATTCTGAAATTTTGCATAATTGGGACCTAAATCTTGGAATGGCTTTTATAAATGCCACTGAATATACCAATTTCATTGGATTTTAACTAGAAAGTTCTTTTAAAATCACAAAAGCTCTTTACAGTAGAAACACTAATGACAGTGCACACAAAGCGTTAGGTAACAGATCTTGACTGATATACTCAAACTTGTAGCAAGCATGTATTCAGAAGAGTACCCAAAGGAGATAAATATCTCTGATCTTTGCAGGTGCTACTTTACTGACTGCAACCCAAAAACTGGAGCTGGACATCAGCAGCAGTGAGGTAAGCAGGAGACGGCTGTGGCTGGAAAGCACCTGAGATGGAAACCCAGAACTAAAGTGCCTTGATATGGGCCTGGTTACCAAGCCTGACCAGATTTTCTCATTCTAAACCTTCTTTTTATTATGCTGCCAAACAACTATTTTTTTTACAGAAATGGTTTTAGCTATCTCTCAAGACCAACAGTACTGGAAAACAGAGCAAAATGAAACATCATGGAACTGGAAGAGGATAAAGAGAAGCAGGACATCACAGCCATGTGACTGTTCTCATCTCACACAAGGAACCACTACAATAGGCAATGCTAATGGGGACAGCAAAATTCTCTAAGTCAGTCCTCCATTCCCTTGAAAAACCTCTCCTTGGGAAATAGCAGATCAGTAAACATTTTATAGTAACTGTGGTAACTATTTCTTATGCATCAGTTAGCCTTAATATGAATATATGGTCTTATACAACTATAACCCTGAGGTTAGAAATATATTTAAGCTATGTAAAACCCCATATAACTCTGGGCAAATTCTAAATTTTGAAAAATCACTTGGAATTTGTTCAAGACCTATCTCTAATGTCTCTAGTTTGTCAATGGTACCGTCAACGTTCCCAAGTGGCAAAACACTTCCTAAACTTGCCTACAGTCACCAACTTAGTTATGCAAAAATAAGACTCAAAAGTTTTAGAGGTATTTTTTGTAAATTTTTTTTGTTAAGGCAGTTGTCCTTTCAGGCTTTCAGGTACATCAGAATGTAGAAACTGCATTATTAAAAACTGAACATAGAAAACATAATATATACTTTTCTGGTTGTGCAAGGCTACAAAAAAAAAGAAATGTATGAAGCACTAACATCTCACACCAATTACTAATGTTTAGTGAAAAACTACACCTTTTTTAGGGGGGAAAATGTAAAGTTAAAGGGTCTGCAAATAATTTGAAATCTCAGAGAGAGTTAAGGATGCTGTTATAAAGATATGTTTAAATTCCTTACGTGTTATAATATAATCCTGCGTAAGAGTCTCTGCTTGTCTCTCTTTTCGTTTTGTTTTGACCACACATAATTTTGCTCCCCTAGGAGGAAACACACAGCAGTTCAGTGGTCTGTTTATATCAAACAGAAACCATTTTTTATTCAAGACACTGACTCAACAACATTATATATTCATGAACGTGTGTATCTTTGCCTGTCCATGCACATGTGAAGGAGGCTAGAGAGATCAGTGTTTCTGTTATGGAGCAGTTTATACAATATGCTGAAATAAGGGTGTAATATTTATTTCACACTTCATTTGTCCACAGTACTTGTGGTATGCACGTTGAAAGGGCTGCTCTCTAAGCACAGGCAATGACTTGCTCCTACTACTCTTCTTAAGCGGCAGAGGTGGCAGTTATCTACTCAGAGGTGTCTGTAACAGTACAGCAGGAAAGACTGCGTAAGCCTAGCTGCAGCAAGACTGCAGAATTTTTCTGCTCATGGTAAGCACCAGGAAACAAATGGCGAAAAACAGAGCTAGGGCTCTCGTGGTCTGTGCCTAGGAGACACAGCCTGATCTCTGAAAAGGGGTCCAAATAATTAGGGCCAACTCCCTTGTTCTCCAAATTGACAAATACCAGAAAAATAAAACTTATCGATGATAATCTTGCAAAGCAGAGTATTCTTGTTTACCAAAACTGGATCTTCCCATCCAGGTATCCAGGTCACAGCAAGTATCCAGAAACTGTGAACTGTAACACTGTATGTTTTCAGATGCCAGTGAAACAAAGATGAGAGCGTACAAGGGAAAGAATCTCTTATTCTATCTTATATCACTCAATATAGATGTTTTCCCTCTGCTGACAGGAAGGAAGCATGCCCCAGTTCTCCAGCCAATCCAGATGGTAAATGCAAATTAATTGCAAAAGAAGGATTTGTAGGATAGTTAAGTCCTCTTCTTTTCTTTCCAAGACACCTTCTTATGAATCACTACCACCTTTCCATTAGATGTACAGGCAAAATCCACACGTGACAGGTGGGGGTGAGAGAGAAGACTAGCAGAAAGATGGAAATGTGCTTCCTTGGTTTGTCCCCTCTTAAATAAAGTTTTCCAGTATCACTTCACAGACAGTGAAGCTCAAGCTTATGCTTCTAAGCAAGATGTTTACTTTACAAAAAAAAGTAACTGAAAAACAGGACCATATACAACAAATATCCTTTCAGTAACACCACATAAGCAACATCCAAGAGATCAGATGAAAGGTCAGTTATTCTTACTTCAGATTTCATGCAATTACAAAATAAAAGTGTTTGTAAATTTAGATAGAGCAGCCAGCATACTATCCATGAAAAGCCCAGAGGAAAAATGTGACATTCTAAAGAAACAAACTGTCTCAGTTTTTCTTCTTTCTAATGTTACTAAATAAGTAAAACTGCCCCCCCCCCCCCCCCCCTTACAACCCCCCCCCCCCCCCCCAAGTTACTAATCCAGTTTTTCTCATCTCTTAGTATAATCATAGAACCACAGAAGCAGGCTAAATTTGAGAAAAAAAAGTAATGTTCTTCTTCATTAATCATGATTACGTACCTCTGGCTTTTGACAGGATCGTAGTACACTTTGGCCAAACCATTTCCTGTACCAACCATGATCTGGTTCAGCTTGGGATGCCAAAGGCAACGCACAACACTCTGAAATAAAGCAATATATTGATAGTCAGTTGGTCATTCATCTGTATCTTAGAATTAATATTCATATTGTCCAATAGTGAATGAGTACAACTCACACAGTAGCAGGAACAAGCTTAAACACGTCAGTGAAGATGTGACTGAATAGAAGTTCCTTTCCTGAGCAGAAAACAACGTAAGAGGAGTGACAACACATGGATGTAGGCAAAGAAGGAAGCACAGACTGATGGCAGCGTGATAATAAGTGGTTTCCACAGGCTCCAGGGTCTTCGTGGGCATTATGGAAATGAAAAATTAAAGGGCAATTTGAAGGAGAACAATAAAGTGCTTCAGATACAGCAGTGCAGGCCTTCATAATTTTTGCATTCTTATTTTTACTTCTCCATTCTTCCACCACGCTCTTTCTCTGTTTTCCTGTTCTTCTCACACAGTGCTGACCTTTCACTTGCTGACAGCAGAAATGGAAGAGTAGCTGATTTTCACTCTTTCTTTCATCCCCACAACATCCAGAAGAAATTGGCATTTGAAGCCAATGTCTCACAGTTCTGTCACCCTTGTGGTCAGTAGAGAAGCCCATTTTCAGACATTAATGCTATTGTTCTTTTATACACACAACGTGGTTCTCCATGTGACTTTGAATCTCCATGTGATACTGTGTTCAGTCTGATTCAGCATGAGAAGACTCAAGGGAACCAAAGAAGTGGGCAGTATCTGCCACGAAGGACAATATATCTTAAAACAAACACAAAATCTGTATGTGTATCTGACTAACCGGGGAAACAATTTATCTATTTTTGAGAGACAGTAATTCTTTAAAGGGTTACTATCCAAGATTGAATACAGGTGTTAACAGTGTCTGTTACCTATGTAATAAATGTGTCCAGAGCTATCAGAATGCATCACCCTTTCAGTATATCACTGAACAATGCTCATCTTTCTAGCTTATTTTTTCACCCATGCTTGCTATTCCTGCTTTATCAAAACCCAAGAATAGACTCAAAGTGAATATTGAATATTCAACCACTCTCATCCATGTTATTAAAGTATCTATATATACACTTTTTAAACAGTACATAATACAGTATAGGAAATTCACAAAATAGGAATCACTAATGTCTTAACAACAGAAATACAGCAAAGCTGAAATATAATTAGGCATGTAATACAGCCACAAGTTGTTCAATTTAAGTAAGAGATTCTTACATGCTGTTATGTAATGCTCGAAATATTATAGTAACTCTAAAACACAGAAAGCAAATAACAAATACTGGAAGGTCAAAGGTGGGTGGCGTCTTCTGTTATTAATATTTATTGCATGTGTTTAGCCAGCCTTTTTAAAGTTTGTATTTAATGTGGTTCTCTACTTTCTACTGTCAAGTAAATGTATTTTATAACATGGTACTGGATACCAGCCAACAAAAACACAGCCTGAGACAGTGTGGCTCAGCACTGATGGGGATTGCTAAACTTCTAACTTCTCAAACATGCACAGCACACTTAAAACCACCATGGCACATGCTCCAGAGCAGGCGAAAGAAACTGCCATTAAATGCAGCCCTATAAATCTTCTGAATCTGTAAAACGTCCCCAGAATGTAATTTGTTAAAAATTACAAATACATGCTCTGAACATGCCAGTGGTTTTATTAATCCACTGGCATATAAAACTACTTTATAAGAAATAATAAAAACTACTTATGCAGATTTTCAGATTACTGTAGAAATGAGCAATTTCTAAAGGACCAAAATACTGAATTCCTGAATTAAATCCTTATAGCTTTTCCCAATCATATAATCCTAAAGAAAATTCTAAACTACTATACAACAAAGGGATCATTGTAGTCTAGGTCTGTAACCCTGGGAGTGGGGTGGAAAAGGGGAATCTTTATCATACAAAAATAGTAAGTTCTTAAAGAGCATTTAGCCTTTGATGCCTCTAACTTCCCTACTGTTTATGCTTAGAATAAGTCAGGTGGACACCTCTATTACTGGAAATGCTAAACATCAAATTTCAGCTCAAAGAAGGTCCTACATTCCAGCTCTCCAGGCAAGTAAGTGCGTTAAAAGCAAGAAAAGAAGTGTTTTCATGGCTTTGCTTACCTATGCACAGAAGTAGACACTCACAGAACCATAGAACGGCCTAGGCTGGAAGGGACCTTAGAGATCATTTTAACCCAACCTCCCTGTCGCAAGGGATGCCACCTCTAGACTAGATCAGGCAACACATGGGGACCGAACTACTGATACTGAATTTTATGCAATTACAGAATAGCTGCAGCTGGAAGAGAGCTCCTGAGATCATTCACTTAAACCCCTCTGCTCTGAGTATGGTCAGCTACTACAGGTAGCTCAGGACACTGTCCAGTTTGGTTCTGAATATTTCCAACTTACAATATTTCCACTTACTTTTAACATGCTCTCTCTTGCAGCAGGAGCTGAGAACTGGACCCAGCACTACAGATGCGCCTCACCAGAACTGTGTGGAGGGCAAGAATGGCCTCCCTTGACCTGTTAGCAATGTTCTTCTGCCTGATGCAAATGCCCACTGTCAGAGAGGGTCCAGGAGGGCCACAAAAATAATCAAAGGGCTGGAGCACCTCTTCCACAAAGACAGGCTGAGAGAGTTGGGGTTGTTCAGCCTAGAGTGGAGAAGTGGATCAGGTTGCCCAGAGAGGTGGTGGAGGAGGCTCCATCCCTGGAGGCATTCAAGGTCAGGCTGGATGGGGCTGTGAGGAACCTGATCTAGTTAAAGATGTCCCTGCTCACTGGAGAGGAGTTGGACTAGATGACCTTTAAATGTCCCTTCCAGTCCAATGCATTCTATGATTCTTGTTGCCACTTTCTGTTTCTCTGAGATGGAGATTTGGCATTCCACAATCACTTTTTAAGAATAACTTGATTTATTTAAAGGTTGTACCCTGCAATAGAACCCAACACAAACGAGATGGTACTTTAGATTTAATTGTCCCTGAGGCAGGAGCTTAGGCTGGAAGCAATAACCACAGCAAGCTCTCAGTCCACGTATCAAGGTGGTTTCATGCTTGGTAAGAGACGTAAGAGACCAGGGAATTAAAATGCCTACCATTGCTGTATTGAAGCCTAGCACAAGCGACTAGATTAACCATATGAACACCAGTACAACAACCAAAACCTTCAAATTCAAACACTGAACACAGAAAGACTAAAGCTGTTTCTTTTGACATTTAAAGCTGAAACAAGACAAATCCATGTAAATTCTGAAATTAAAAGAAAAAAATCTGGGTCATATAGCAATTTTGCAAATGGAAAATAATGCCTTATTATAACAAATAACAACAATGAAATACAGACTGTATCACTACATAAACATTTTCAACATTTAATAAAAAGATTTCTGTAGTGGATGGATATTTTGGACAGTATATCTTTGCAGTATGGAGTCCTGGAACCTTGTCATAAAAATCCTGAAAATACTTTTATCCATGGAACTGATGCGGTCAGCTTCGTGACCGTAAGAGCTGAGAATACTGCACTTAGAAATGACAATTACAAGTAATGATTCAAAAGCTGTTTGGTACCTTTTCTGTTGCAAAAGCCCTGAGTTCTTTCAAATTAAATCAACGTGAAAAGCCCTTGGCAGTGCCTACCGCATATACAAACACAGTCGCCTGCATTAGGAAATACTGGGAGGAGATTGTGAAAATATTTTTGTGAAGTCAGGCAGGGAAATATTAAAAATGTTAGCAGAGAGAGAAACACTCCAAATTTATCTTCATTGTCACTGTGAAAGATTTTGAAGTAGATTCAGGGGGTTTTATTGATAGTAGGGCTTTGTAACTATTTTCAGGTAACAGATTGTCTTGCAATAAGGACTTAAACTGAAAGTTAATTAAAAAATATCTACGCAATTTTAAAGACATCTTTTTTCAGCAATCTAGATGAAAAGTTTTATCTTCTTAAGCAACTGCCTAATGAAATAAGAAAATATTACTGATTGTTCTTGAAACTAGCCATACCTTTTTTTCTAAAGGTACTACACCATTGTTTTAAATAGAAAACATTAACTACCTGAAAAATATGTAATTTTTACTTTGTTTTTAAACTAAATACTATGCTTACTTTGGACTCTCAGTTCTTTTAATTGCACTCTGTTTTTAGAACATTTTACCTGTAACTTAAAAATTTTATTAATATGCATTAATCTTAAAGCATGAAACTAAAGAAATACGCAGAAAGCTGGAAGGCAAAGGTAATGATATCACTGTTCTCTTTTGTGCTGTTCCATTTGCATTTCTTCTGAGAAATGTGCAGAGTCCCAGATCATGTACAATTCTGGGGTGGCTCATAAGCAGTCTCACCCTAACATTCTGTGCTCCCCTATGTTTTTCCCACTGTATCATATAAGCAGAGCTGTTGCTGCCAGTAAACAGTAAACTACACCAAATAATTTTTCAGCTGGTTCTAACTCCACTAGGTTGGTTCTAGCCCACTAGGTAAACTACACACACAGCTGTGCTGGTACTATGCATGGAACAGTGCTTTGAAGAGATTTAATGGCAGTGCCTCTAAACGAGAAACTAAAGCCTGAAACGTAATTTTCTGTAACACAGAACGGGACATTTATTCTGGTCTAGAAATATACCTCTGTGTTTAACAGGCAAAGTGAAGAATAAGCAGATTTCTCAGCAAGCAAAAGCTAATTACCTCAACTGAAACTGTCCAGAGCACTTGGGTAACACCCTAGCAGGAGTAAACAACGCAGAGAGGGCATTTTACAAGGTCAGCAAGAAAAGATTAAAATGATTTGTGGCACAGGAATGGAAAATTTACCCCTAAGATGAAACCATGAAGCTGGTAGGGTCATAAAACTACTGATGTCAAGGATTGAAAGAATTCTCCTGGATTTTTGCTTAAAAAATGGTTCAAGACTGTAGCAGCAAAAGCAAAATTAATTCCTCTGGCCCACACTTCAGGTAAAAACATTCAGTTTTACAGCATGGATAGAGAAGATCCAGGATGGACAGA